CTAAAAAAACCAAAACAATTGTCTATAATGAGGACTGTATATATAAGCTATAACTACTTTCTTAGGGCCTTATTTTCAAATGTTTGGGTCATAAAGCTTAGAAAGTGATTCACCCAGTCTTTCATTGGACTCTAGAAATACATGATGAAAATCATCCCCATTCCTGGAAAAGTCTATTTTCTTTTTTTGTTTTAAGAGACTGGATCTCACTCTGCTGCCCAGGCTTGAGTGCAAGGGTGTGATCACAGGTCACTGCAGCCTCAAACTCCTGGGCTTAGGCAATCCTCCTACCTCAGCCTCCCATGTAGGTAGGACTATAGGCACATGCCACCATGCCCAGCTATATTTTTTTTTATTTTTGTAGAGACAGGTCTCACTATGTAGCCCAGGCCGGTCTCAAACTCCCAGCCTCAAGCAATCTTCCCACCTCGGCCTCCCAAAGTTCTGGGATTACAAGTGTGACTCACCATACCTGGCTGAAAAGTCTTTTCTATTCCTGTTTATCCATCATACCACTAGACTTTTCAGTTAGTATCTAAAATCAAGCCCTAAACTTGAGAGAGAGAGACCCATTCCTCATCTTACATTATGGCAATTATTTTACTTGGGTTCAGATGACCTCTAGTAACATCTCTTAGGAATGTATCTTCCCCCTTAATCTACAACATCTGTTAAGGATTAGGCCATTCATTCTATGAGCTGATCCTAAACTAAAGTAGTCTCTATTTAACTTTGAGTTCAAAGAGTAAAAAGGAGTATCTGAATCAATATCTTCATTTTTATAAATGAGGAAAATAAGTCGAAGGAGACAACATGAATTGCCCACAGTCACACACCTAATTAGTGGGAAATGTCACAGCAGAGGTCTTTCTATTATCAAATGAATTTGACTCAATTTAAATTACCCCCAAAAGGTTACCACATCCACAAGTGACTTAGGGAATAGATAAACTTTTGTTCTGTTCTGGACCATTAGCTAGCTGAGAACGTAGCTGGCACTGTCTCCTTCCCAGACTGCTGATCACACTTCAATCCATGGCCTCTCCACGAGCTATGGACATGAGTTTTGCAACAGTAAGGTATGCAAAGAAATTCTCAGGCATTTGTGCCACTGGCCACACAGACTTTGCCGAAGGGCCATCAACTTTCAGAATGACTTGGCAACTACAAACTGCCTTGTGGTATATCATCAGCTGAGTTTCCTAATAATGGCATTTATCTTATCATTGCCAAACTCGCAGTTTCCTAATCCAACAAATGGATATTCTGTTTCACATAATCTTAAATTGGACAAATTTCTCAAGGTGCTGTGTGGTTTTATGGATTTAGAGTTAACCCAGTCTTTCTCAACAGGGGTACTATGACATTTTGAGAAGGACAATTCTTGGTTGTGTGGGATTATCCACTACACTGCAAAAGGTTTAGTATCATTGGTCCTCTGTCTTCTAAATGCAAGTAGTCCCACCAATTGCAACCCCCACACACTTCCAAAGGTCCTCAAGGGATGATACCACCCCTACTATTAACCTTAGAGTCAACCATTAAGTGAACTACAAAGTAATAAAAAATGTTTACAGAAAGGTAAAGACCTAATCCCCTTCCCTGCAATGAAATATTGCCTTCTATTCCTTTTTTTTTTAACCCAGAGATAATGCTTTGTTCATTAACTCTATAAAAAAAGTTTATCTAAACTAGTTATAATTAAGACACTTGCATGGCTAGGGAAGTGGAATAGAAAAGTTACTCAAATAGAATCAGGATATCTGAGCTTAAATTCAAATTTTCTGGTTCTTCTTTAAGCCAATTATTTCTTCTCATCAAGCCTTAGTTTTCTCATCTATTAAAAGCATTAAGCTTACTTCCTGTTCATTAGTTCTAACAATAAATAAATAAATAAATAAAGCATTAGACTAAATGATCACTCTAGTTTATTTTAATTCTAGGAATTTGTGAAGTAAAACATAATTAACTTGCTTTACTCTTCCTTTGACCTCTACATAGCTAAATGGGGGTGACCACTAACAAGTACTACCTCATCTCTCAGAAGCCAGGCCCCCAAACCCCAGGGATAACAATAAGGCAAAACAGTCACATCCCGCCAGATCCAGTATGGGATTTTACTACAGAGTCAGTAACTTGAGTGTATAAAAAGGTACTGAATTATTTTATGATTCATTAATAGTAGAAGCACTAAGATAATAACAGCAGCAATAGCCACCCTAACTTACATTTATCTAGGCTAGACCTATAATCTCAACTCTGGCTGTACATTAGAATCACCGGGATAGCTTTTAAAAAAAAATGCCCCAGTTCCAAGCCAAGCCAATACCAAATGAATTGGAATCTCTGGGGATGGAGCTATTTTTTTAAGGCTCCCCCAGGTGATTTTGATGAACAGTGAGAACCAAGAACTACTAACCCAGACCCTTTAATCCAAGATTTTTGCAAAGCAAATAACCAAAATTTAGTTTCTCACACACTGGTTGTATAATCAAACATCAATAAATAAAAATAATCTAGTGTTTTTATTTACTGACATTCTCAATCACAGAGAATTGTTTCTAGAGAAAAAGGAGAGCTCCACTAACAATCCCTTGTTCATATCACAACGTTTTCTTGAGGACTGGCCCTGCTAGAAATGGAATATAACTTTCTGACATGATGAAACAGTTCAACAAAGATTACTACAAATTTGCCCACATCTGCGGAATTCCTATCAATCATCAAGATAGTTACAACAATGTTAGTCAAAGTAGTACAGAGACAAATTCTTCAACCTAACTCTCACTCACTAGGTCTCACTAAAAGGCCTAGAATGTAGGAAGGATAAAAGAAAAAAAGTTGAGGAGAACATTTACGAAAAGACACTTCTAAAACCTGAAAAATACATCATTTCTCACTAAATAAAGCTTTGGGTGAGTCCAGTGACATAGGTAAAACAATCTTGGCTAAAATTATTTTTGCTCTTTTTGGAACAAAATCAGTGAAACTAATAAGACAGGTTAAATAAATAAACTATTAAACTTTTCTCTCTTACCTTATGTGTAAGGCCAAGCCATCCTGCAGGCTAGAGATTCCCAAATCAGAGAGTGTATCTGAGCCGACAGAAGCGGGTGACAGAGAACCCTCCTTCTCCTCTAGCAGGTCCAGCTTCACCAAGTTGCTGATCTCATCCTCTGAGTTATCTTCAGACACAGAACCAATTATGAATCGGGAGTGCTGGTTCAGCTCCAGAGGTTTGGCCAAGGGAGACGGTTCATCCATTATTCCTTTGAAATGAGCTCTCAGAGCTATGGAGAAAATTAAAAGTGAGAAAACCAGGTATAACAATAATATCCTACATCTGAGGACAGCCAGAGGTTATACCTAAAAAACCACAGCTGGGACTTGGAATCAAGGCAAAATTGAGAACTAGCTTCCTTGTCTCTTCTATGAAATATTTCAGGGCCTTTGTTTTCTATAAGAGAAGAAAATTGAGATCATGGTAACTAAGTCTAAAAACTAAAACCAGTTCCCTTTTCCCCAAAGAAATCTTTCTCAAAAAACCATAAGCCATTTCCAATATCCTTATCAATTTGGTAATGTCCAAGAGATAACTGTCATCAATGGAGAAACCTTTATAGTAGGTAAAAGCCACTTGTGATATTGCAATTTCGGTTCTTAGTATTGGAAGGAACGAATGGTAAGGAGTTGGGGGAAAGTAGTGGTCATTTGAAACTTGGTGTTTCGAGTAAACTACATAATGATCATCTGGTTTCAAACACTATACATTGAGAGGCTATGAATTTCACATATGTGCATATTTTCAAAACAAACTCCAGATGAGTAGTTTTTAATTTTAAAAAAATCTTCACTTGTCCTCATGAGTTTTTTCTTAAATTATACCTTTTAAAAATTCACCCTAAAATGTCT